GGGGGGGGGGCGGGTCTTTGTGACTAAAACTGGACACAGAGTGATGCATGAGGCCTCAGTGGTACTACTGCTTTTCATGTTTTGTATTCAGTGCTTCTGTTAATACAAGCCCAGACTTTTATGTACTCTTTTGTGACAAAATTTGATCCATCATATTTGATCCGTCATAACCCCCAGATTCTTCTTGAAAGTCCTACTGCCAAACCAGTTGTCCCCCACTGTATTTATGCATTTACTTCCCAAGGTGTGGCACCTTGCACTAGTCTTTGTTGAATTTTATTTTGTTGTCTACTGCCTGAGTCTCCAACTTACCCAGGTTTCTTCAAGGATTTTAATGACATCCTCCAACATATTTGCAACTTCTCTGTTTTGTGCTGTTTGTGTTTCTGCAACCAAGTCTTTTAATAATGATGCTAAACAGCACTGGGACCAGAACTGCTTGAGAAACTCCACTTGAAGACCTTTTGCAAGTCTGACATCAATTGGCTTTCCTAGTGGCTTATTCAGCCAATTGCCAGCACTCCCACTGCCCCTGCCTGATGTAGCACTTGCCTCACAGCATCTCTCAGATGTGAAAGAAATCCAGTTGCAACATTTGTCATCCCATTGATCACTAGGATAGATTCTGGGCTAATCTGGTTGGTGAGGCAGTGGTCCCTTCCACCTCTGCGTGCATCCTTTCTGAAGTTGCATGCATGGTTGATGAAGACAGCCTTCCCAGACCGTGGCACGCCATTCTCCAGTTACAGGTGTACAATAGCTGCCCTCCTGCTTGAGCCTCCAAAGAAATATGAAGCTTTGAGTTCTTCTTGCTTGTTTTCATGTTCTACAATTTTTAGGGTTTACTTCAAGTATTAAAATCCCTTATTGAATGGATGTGTCTACCTGCTCTACTCATGTATCCGGTCCTGGAAGTGAAGCAATATAGTCACCTTTTTAGAGTGGCACTGAGGGTGCGTTAATATGCATACCCAAAACAAACCTGGAGATGAGCAACTCTCAGGGATTTTCCTAAGTTGGTTACAGACTTGTTTGTATCACTGTAGCAGATCCTGATGAGGAAATGGCTGAGCATGCCCTGCCCACTGTAAATTTCAGACATGCTCCAGACCTGAAAAACCACCACCAATAAGACTTCTCCAGGCTCATCTCCAATGGGCTCTAAGAGTGATTGCAGGGGATGAGCTCTGAGCAGCCCCAGTGGCAAACTTCCAGGCCTATACAGCTAAATGGGAATAGACAAGCCCTTCCATTGCCTCTATTCTCATGCACTGGTGTGTAGGAACAGGAGGAAACAGTCTTCGCCCCTGGTCACAGCACAGAGGTGGTGTAGACATGCCTTCAGTCTTTTGCCTGAGAAGGGGGATTGGGATGAGTGATGCAGTGTGAGCTGTTAATCAGAGTGATATCAGTTTAACAGATTTGTTAGATTTCCCATTTTCATTGATGAATCGGGACTATTTTTTCCATGTAGCAGATAAGACAAAAAGGCATTACATTACGGGCTCACTTTTTTTCCCCTCTTTTTATTCAAGTGTTGAAAAATTATTTTTCTTTTTGTAAAGTGTGCCTCGAAAGGGGTGCTTTACAGACATGGAAATAAACCAAAACAAAATAGTGCTTTACTTTCATCTTGGAGCACCCTAATACCAAGTGCAGCACATGCTCAGAAGAGAAATTGCATCCATTTGACCTGGCTTGCCCAGTGTCTGTATAGCTCATGCACTTCAGCAGGGCTTATTGGCACTTTTATTCAATCAGCTATTAGATAGCTATTAGAGAAAAGTGCCAAAAAAGCCCTGCTCAAGTGCACAAGCTATACAAATGCTGGGGAGCTGGGTCACGTTTATCTTAAGTAATTTTGTAATTGATTTTTGTGGTTCCAATTTTACATGTTGCCAGAAGCTTGCTTGGTAGGCATATTTCATAAAATAAAATAACTGATGACAGTCTGGTCCTTCAGGAGTAATTAGCTTACTGACATAACTGAAGTCCCCCAAGTGTTTCCAAGCCTGGGCATAGAGAAAAAAGTGCGGGGGAGGGTAATCTCTGCTGTTCATTATTTCTCTGCTGTATCAATATCTGGTCATCCATAAATACATTAATTCTTTGACAGCATTTGGTGAAACAATGGAAGCTTCCAAGTACAGCATCAAAACCTCTTGCTGTTCTCCAGAAAAGAGACATCTTGGAAATATTAGTGCAGTTTAGTCTCATTTTTGTACTCAAATGTATTAATCTCCACTTAGTGATAAAACATTGTACACAGCACTAAAAAGTTGTATATTAGGGCTTGTTGATTTTTTAGTAGTGAAACCAGGATCCTTTCCCCCCAGCCACCCCCAATGTTGAGACCA